TTACTGGGGTATGCATTCCCAGAGAGCACATGATAATTCTCGAGTCCTTCAGACTCTGCAGCCTTCAGTCTGTCTTCTCGGAGAATAGGCCCTGGCCATCAAAGGGCAGGTCCTGGAGGGTCTGCTGTAACTCTGGTGGTAAGCCAGAGACCTGCAAGCCACGAAATGCGGCGCATGGCTATGCCCGAGGCCAGGGTCCTAGCTGCCAAGTCTGCCACGTCCGGAGAGGCTTGTAGGGAGGGTTCTGGCCACCTTCCTGCCCTCCTCTACTGTAGCCCCAAATTCCTCTCTGGACTCCTGTGGAACCAACTCCTTGAATTTCTCCATAGAGTGCCACGAATTATAGTCATATCGGCTCAGGAGTGCCTGCTGGTTGGCCACCCTGAGCTGCAAGCCTCCGGCTGAGTACACCTTGCGCCCAAACAAATCTAGGCATCTAGTGTCCTTTGATTTAGGCGCCGGGGCCTGCTGACCGTGCCGCTCCTTCTCGTTGACCGAAGCCACGACAAGGGAGCACGGTTGGGGATGCGTATAGAGGTACTCGTAGTCCTTTGAAGGGACAAAGTACTTCCTTTCCACCCCCCTTGGCCGTAGGTGAAATAGAGGCTGGCGATTGCCAGATTGTCTTGGCATTGGCCTGTATGGTTCGTATGATGGGGAGGGCAACTCTAGACGGTGCCTCCGCAGACAGAATGTCCACCACAGGGTCCTCTACCTCCACCACCCTCCTCTACCTGGAGGTTCATATTGCGCGCCACCCTGCGGAGCAGTTCCTGGTGGGCGTGGAGGTCCATAGGAGGAAGGCCCGAAACCGTAGTCCCCGACACTGCTTCATCCGGCGAGGAAGATACCCCCGGGACTAAGGGATCCTACGCAAGGTCCTCTTGTGGAGGATCTTGTTGCTCAAGGTCCAGCACGCTAGGAGTGTGGGCCTGCATTGGCGCTGGAGTAGTCGCCTCAGAGCCTCCCGGGGTGGGGCGTGAGACACAGTGGCCTCTGGTACTTGGGGCTCCGAAGGGGCGGAACGGGAAGCCCCCGAAGGAGCCCCCTGGGCCTGATGGTATGCCCAGGGGGTCCAAAAGGACCACTGTGGGGGTTCGTGGCCCGGGTCCTCATAGAATCATAGAATATCAGGGTTGGACGGGACCTCAGGAGGTCACCTAGTCCAACCCCCTGCTCAAAGCAGGACCAATCCCCAACTAAATCATCCCAGCCAGGGCTTTGTCAAGCCTGACCTTAAAAATCTTTAAGGAAGGAGATTCCACCATCTCCCTAGGGAACCCATTCCAGTGCTTCACCACCCTCCTAGTGAAAAAGTTTTTCCTAATATCCAACCTAAACCTCCCCCACTGCAACTTGAGACCATTACTCCTTGTTCTGTCATCTGCTACCACTGAGAACAGTCTAGCTCCATCCTCTTTGGAACTCCCTTTCAGGTAGTTGAAAGCAGCTATCAAATCCCCCCTCATTCTTCTCTTCTGCAGACTAAACAATCCCAGTTCCCTCAGCCTCTCCTCATAAGTCACGTGCTCAGCCCCCTAATCATTTTTGTTGCCCTCCGCTGGACTCTTTCCAATTTTTCCACATCCTTCTTGTAGTGTGGGGCCCAAAACTGGACACAGTACTCCAGATGAGGCCTCACCAAATGCCAAATAGAGGGGAATGATCATGTCCCTCGATCTGCTGGCAGTGCCCCTACTTATACAGCCCAGAATGCCATTAGCCTTCTTGGCGACAAGGGCACACTGTTGACTCATAACCAGCTTCTCGTCCACTGTAACCCCGAGGTCCTTTTTTGCAGAACTGCTTCCTAGCCATTCAGTCCCTAGTCTGTAACAGTGAATGGGATTCTTCCGTCCTAAGTGCAGGACTCTGCACTTGTCCTTGTTGAACCTCATCAGGTTTCTTTTGGCCCAATCCTCTAATTTGTCTAGGTCCCTCTGTATCTTATCCCTACCCTCCAGCGTATCTACCACTCCTCCCACTTTAGTGTCATCTGCAAACTTGCTGAGAGTGCAGTCCACACCATCCTCCAGATCATTAATGAAGATATTGAACAAAACCAGCCCCAGGACCGACCCTTGGGGCACTCCGCTTGAAACCGGCTGCCAACTAGACATGGAGCCATTGATCACTACCCGTTGAGCCCGACGATCTAGCCAGCTTTCTATCCACCTTATAGTCCATTCATCCGGTGCATACTTCTTTAACTTGCAGGCAAGAATACTGTGGGAGACCGTATCAAAAGCTTTGCTAAAGTCAAGGAATAACACATCCACTGCTTTCCCCTCATCCACAGAGCCAGTTATCTCCTCATAGAAGGCAATTAGGTTAGTCAGGCATGACTTGCCCTTGGTGAATCCATGCTGACTGTTGCTGATCACTTTCTTCTCCTCTAAGTGCTTCAGAATGGATTCCTTGAGGACCTGCTCCATGATTTTTCCAGGGACTAAGGTGAGGCTGACTGGCCTTTAGTTCCCCAGATCCTCCTCCTTCCCTTTTTTAAAAGACGGGCACTACATTAGCCTTTTTCCAGTCATATGGGACCTCCCCCAATTGCCATGAGTTTTCAAAGATAATGGCCAATGGCTCTGCAATCAGATCTGCCAACTCCTTTAGCATCCTCAGATGCAGTGCATCCGGCCCCATGGACTTGTGCTCGTTCAGCTTTTCAAAATAGTCCCGAACCACTTCTTTCTCCACAGAGGGCTGGTCACCTCCTCCCCCTACTGTGCTGCCCAGTGCAGTAGTCTGGGAGCTGACCTTGTTCATGAAGACAGAGGCAAAAAAAGCATTGAGTACATTAGCTTTTTCCACATCCTCTGTCACTAGGTTGCCTCCCTCATTCAGTAAGGGGCCCACACTTTCCTTGACTTTCTTCTTGTTGCTAACATACCTGAAGAAACCCTTCTTGTTACTCTTAACATCTCTTGCTAGCTGCAACTCCAAAGTGTGATTTGCCCTTCCTGATTTCACTCCTGCATGACTGAGCAATATTTTTATACTCCTCCCTGGTCATTTGTCCAATCTTCCACTTCTTGTAAGCTTCTTTTTTTGCATTTAAGATCAGCAAGGATTTCACTGTTAAGCCAAGCTGGTGACCTGCCATATTTACTATTCTTTCTACACATCGGGATGTTCTTTTCCTCCAACCTCAATAAGGATTCTTTAAAATACAAGCCGATATTTGTCCTGGCCTTCTAGCCACTGGCCTGTACTGCCCTCGCCGTGGTCCTGGGCGTGGTAGCCACCTTGTGAGCATGAAGACACAGAGGCGGAGCGAGATGGCCAAGACGGTGCTGTACGCGCCATTGCAGAGTACCCCGGTGCTGTACAGTGCCGGGGACCGGTGCCGTGAGGCAGAACTGTACCAAGACATTGATCGGTGCCTGCGATCCGATTGGTACCGGGAGCCTGATCTGGATCTCAATGGCGACTTCCGGTGAGATCGGCGTCAGGATCGGCTCAGGGTTGAGTGTCGCTCTGACCGGTACCGGGAGCGGTGCTGGGAGTCCGCTCGGTACCAGCCGTAACGCGATTCGGATCTCCGCGAGCCGGAGCGGCGTCGTGAGTACAACCAGCGCAGAGAACGAGAATGGTGCCGGGACTGCGAGCGACGTCGTGATAGGTGCCAGGAAGAAGATCAGGACCTGGACTGGTGTCGTCCTCCTTCACTCGGCGACAGTGGTCGCATGAGGGATGGCTTTCCCTTCGACAGCACCGTCCGTGCTGCCGGCTGCAGAGGAGTCGGCTCTGAGCGCGATCAAGTCCCACGCCGTTGAAAAGGTCTCCGGTGTGGAGGGTAGTCTCAGCTTGACTGCGGTGTGCACCGGGGAGCTTATGTGCACCAGACTCAACGGCCCTTGCGGCGCCAGAGTTGACGGTGCAGGAGCCGATATTTGTCCTATGCGCTCCGGCAATGGACGTGGCTCCAACTGCGGTGCGGGAAGCGTCGGTGGCTCTCGCACCGACAAACAAGAAGTGCTTGGGCTGCTTCTTCTTCTGGCTCAGAGATAGAGACCTGCAGTGGTGGAGGTGCTGGGGAGATCTGGTGCCGTGAGTCTTTGGTAGAGTCCGAACGCGGTGCCAGACCAGTCGGTGCCACAGGGGCACTCCGCACCAAGGACGACGGTGCCAAGTCTCGGCACACGGAGGAAGGACCGGGCTAAGTGCCGCCCATAAGGAGCTGCTTCAGTCTAAAGTCCTGCTCCTTCCTGGTCCTCGGCTTGAAGGCTTTGCAAATGCGGTACTTGTCTGTTTGGTGGGATTCCCCCAGACGCCTTAGGCAAGAGTCGTGGGGGTCTCCCGTTGGCATCGGCCTCTGGCAAGCCGAGCAAAGTTTGAAGCCCGGAGACCCAGGCATGGGCCTGGGTACTGGGATAGGGGAGAAGGGAGAAGACCCCGTTTCCCCCCCACTACTTAAACTAACTAACTATACTAAGTAATTCATAACTATTAACAACTATAACCAACTATTAACAACTAATCAGAAACTATTAACAGGTACTAAAGCGAATGCTAGGGAGAGTGGAGATCAGCTAAGCTGCGCTCCACAGTTCCAACGACTGTCACGGGCGGTAAGAAGGAACTGAGGGGGCGCTGGGTTGGCCGGGGCATATATCCGGTGCCATAAAGGCGCCACTCCAGGGGGGCGCCTCAGCCGACCAACCGAGTGTTGCTAGGGTAAAAATCTTCCGACGACCGTGCACGCAGCGTGCGCACACCTAATTGGAATCACTCGAAGAACCACCCTGAATTCAAGTCCCTGCTCTGCTACAGACTTGGGCAAATCCTGTAGCCTTTCTGTGCCTCAACTGCCCCATCTGTATAACAGGGTATAGTGGGATAAATACATTAAAGAGTGAGAGAGTTTCAGATACATAGGTGACGGGGCTGGACAAGTACCATAGGCAAATCAGTGGCACTAAGAGCTCCGTGGGACATCACCGAACCACCCCATCCATACGGCACCAGAGGGACACCAAAGGTAGACAGAATACCTGGTTGAGCGCACCAGCCTTGCCAGTAGGGTGCGTTTCTCGTCAGTGGTAAACTGCATGATTCCTGGAGTCTCAAATTTCCGCCGTATCCACTGACATTGCTCCAGGTCATTAATAAACATGAACTCCACGCCAACGTGCTGGCAGTAAGCCATCTATTTAACACAGGAAAGAGGAACACAAGGTAAAGCAGGAGATTTAAGTCACTTTTGCCCTGCAAAGTATAAAATGTAATAAATGCCTGTCACCGCATGTGGCATGTGCTCCTCGTTCAGAATTCAAGGAGCCCTGCAAACGGCACAGAAGGCCCAAGCAGTATTAGAATGGCCTCCTGCATCCCCCTAACACCAGAGCACGTTGGGCCTTTGGCACATCAGAAAGCGAAGAGACCTGCCAGTGTTTTGTGAAATCCAGCCCTGCTACAAACTGCTCACTCCTCTCCCGAGCTATTCCCCAGCACTGCACTAAGCTGCTGAGGTTGTATCAGCCATAGGGTTGCTCCAGGGAGCTGGTTAGTCCATACTTACAGAATAGAGGTATTCTGCAGAAGGCACAGGCATAGCCCCAATGAGGTTGTGTGGGAGATGCATTGTCAACAGCACAGTGCATGCTAGGGAGTTACCTGGAACAAGAACCTGCCTGACAACCAGAGAAGGGCATGCTGAGGCACAAGATATATGGAGCCAGATTGTCACAAGAGCTCGGGACCCAACGCATTCAGCTTTCTTGGAAATCTGGTCCTTAATGTTAGCACATAGGACTAGCAGTCAGGACTTGATGTTGATGGTAAGAAGAGACTATGGCTTGGCAGGTGCTGTCCTGTTTTTTAAGCTGTGCTGATGGTTTCAGACTATATGCATCTTACTGAGAAAAATGAGCTGTATTTGACATTGTGAGCCATAGATTACACACAGTTTTCTGAACACTGACTGGTTCTGACAGCAACAGCTCCAGAACACAGCCCTCAGGACAGAACAGTTACCATGCACAGCTCCTCCTTTCATAATCAAGGTAACATAGCATGTGCAATATTCTATCATCTGGGATTTGCACAACCCCTAGAAAGATATAATGTGTTACAGCGCGGCTGCCACCATCGAGGCATAAAAGGAGGTGATCACAGTCCTTCTACAGACTGGGGTGAAGCATGAAACTCAGTGGCTCCTCGGGAGAAGGGCGCTTCATAGTGTGAATGAACAAAGCTGGGCTGGGCAGTTGGATGGTTGCACCTGTTGTGACTAGGTGCACAAAGAAGTGACCGTGCCCAAGTAACTGGCTCCTTGCCCTACTTCCTTCATTGGAAGCATGATCAGCAGCAACTGCTCCCTCCCTACTCCTGCAAGAGCGGCAGGCCAAGGGTACATGCTCCAACCACTGACAGAGGAAGGTGTCTGCTTGCGCCAGGGCTGCTCTTCCCCCATCTCAACTCCTTAGTGAATCTGTTTGAGGGATGGTGCCCAGCTCTCCCTCCTTGTGCCTGCCCACCCCATAACAGCAGGCTGACTTTGGCCATCACCTCACTCCTCCATCCAGACATCCAGTGGGTTTAGCACCCACCATCCTAACAAGCATCTGGCTCTCATTCTCCCTAGAGTGGCTCCTTGGATGAGGCAGAAGGGGGCACAAGTTACTTATGACAGCACTCCACTGCCCTGTAGCACCAGTCCCCGAGATCCAACCCCTGGAATGAAAGCACAACTATGAGTTGGAAGGCTTTGCTTCAATCCCAGACTGAGGCACTGAGCCTTCCAGATACAGAACATGGCTGCTGGAAGAGAGGAGTACTACAAATGTCCATCATGGGACAGAAGGCAAATAGTAAATTTGGGAGTATTTTTATTAAGATCTCACGATTCTTGGGGAGGGACCGCACTTATGAAATCAAAACACTTGGGGTTGGCAATACTGGTCCCTGGATTGGTAGTAAGTAGAACTTGGTTAGGTCACAGTGACCTAACTCATTGTGTGATCTTGGGCATATCACAATCTCGCATAGCCTCTTTCTCCAGCTGTAAAATGGGGATAACAGCGCCTCCTATTGCTGTTAAGAGCTTGGAGATCCATGGATGAAGAGTGCCATGTTAAGTGCTGAATATGAGTAATAAAGGAAAGGGGAACAGAGAATTCTGATCTCTGGTGAGGCAGGGGGAAGTAGCATTCAGAGTTTTATTATTAAATCTCCCGATAAAGATCCCAAATTGGGAACCAAATGGAACAGCCTAGTTTTCTGAAGTCTGTGCAATTCCCCTGCACTTGTCTTACCTCCAGGCGGCGGATGATCTCGCGGAGTGGAAGAGCCGACTCATTGCCTCCAATGAAAGTGGTCGTGGGCAAGTGGAAGACCTTGTCGAGATCCGATTCATCAAGTCCATAAAACCCTGCAGGATTTCATGGGTAGGACAAGCCAAAGCAGGGGAGAGAGAGAGAGAGGGGTGTGTTTCGGACATGGACAGTCACACAGGAACCAGGGTTGTGGGGAGGATGACAAAAAAAGCAGCACAAAAACCAAAAATAAGCATGAAGGAGGTTTGTGTGGATAAATAACCAAGCAGTAATTAAACAGACACACAAGCACAGAACAAAAAGGTTATTACAAAAGGCACGCAGGCAACACCAGGATACAAAACACAACAAAGCAATATATATGCATATGAATTGGTAATTAAATTGAGTGTTGAATTGAGATGGATTGGAGTCCCACATACACAAAATACATTTTAGGAATATAATATAGGTGAGAGAAGAAAAAACAAAGAGGATTGGCCAGTCATTGAGCAAACAGATTTCACCACATGTTCCGAATTAACAAAACAAAGTTGAAGCAGAAAACAAAAAGGTTAAATGGACCGACCCAAAACAATAAAAAATAAGGAAGGAAAGCAAGATAAAGAAAGCTGCGTCAGTTTCAGGATTCTGCAGTGGACTCTTCTGAATAGCTCATGCGGGGGAGAAGTATTTTACAATAAATGGGACCCATGTGCTTTGAGCAAAGCCCTCTTTGCAGGCAGGCAGGAGGGTTTTGCTACTCTTCCCAAGAGCCGGCCCCGTTAGCCTGTTCAGGCCTATGGGTTTAAACTTGGCCACCCTTGGAGCTCTTTGTTTTCCCCTGTGGTGGATAGGTTCTTACACCAAGCCCACCACACCTTGGTATCGGAGGAGGCGATGCTGAAGCCTTCAGCATAGTAAATGGGAAGTTTCAGCTTAAAAGAAATTAATGATCTGTAAGGAAATCTACATGGGACTCAAATACAGGGCTCAAAGCAAAGAACTGGCAAGGGGGAGGCGAGGGGCTCAGAACAGGGCAGCAATGCCTATGCAACATCCCATTACCAGAGGCAATCCCTTAACGATTAACCTGTACGCCAGTGATAACCAGAGATGTTACTGATATGGCCCTATATGTGCCATTCCTCCTCTACCAACAGGCCAATTGTGCCATGAGGTTTCTTCCCCACCAACCTCCCTCAGACATTACCAAAGCTGTACGCTGGCCCACAGGATTACAATTTAAACACCATTACAACGGTCTCTCTGAGCAGAAGATCATCTCCTTTTAGAAGCAGGCAGCTAGGTGGGAGTGTTTGGCTAGTACACACACCCTTATTTACATGTAACTCAACCCTGCTCCTTGTACCTTGTTTCAAAGCAGATAGAGATCTGCTAAGAAATTCTACTTTCATTCCATATTTTTTGGACTAGCAATAACTCCTCTGGGCAGAGACGGAGTTCCTGACCTGCCTGCGGTAACTGGAGTCCACTTATAGGAGCCATCCTGTGACCATGCAGTGGTTTGTCTACATTCTCAGCTGCCACGTCACAGGGAGACAAGGTCACTCCATGTTAATGGCTCTGTAGGGCTCCCTCTATCAGAGCACCTTTCAGTGCCCACTTCTGAAAGCGGAAGGACCTCTGATTTAAAAGTGAGCACTGATGGAGCAATTTAATCATGGACGAGGTATTGGCATGAATGTATTTGAAGGTTGTTTAACATCATTTGAGGGCACTAGTAAAACAGGCAGATAATTAGCACAGCTAATTACAGGCATGCTCCCAGCAGCTTTTATACTGTCAAGCCCTTTTTTAGAGGGCATAAATGGGCCACAGAACCAAGCTGGAATTCTGGACAGGAAGTTTCAAGTTGTGAAGGGGGTATTTTTAAATCCACAAAAATAACCTTCCTGTTGATGTTCAATAACTACTATCCTGCCCTATAGCACCTCAATGGAACTCAAAGTGAGTGACAAACATGAAACCACCACCTCTGTGAGGTAGGTCAAAATGCTTGAGACAGAGAAACTGAGGCACTGAAAAGGACTTTCCTTTCATAACCCAGCAAGTCAGCGGCAGAGATGGGACCCGAACCCTGGAATCCTGACCACCAGTCCCGTTCTAACCATTAGGCCACACTTACCTATTAACTAGAAGTGTGGTGAACTATAAAAGCAAACAAACAGGATTTGTTCTCTCTTGGTGCTGAAAAATCTGCTTAGCATTGATATAGGGTTTAACCTGGCCCAGGGCTCAAGCCATCCCACTTGCATCTGTGCAGACACTGCAGCTCCTCTGCACTCGTATGGGGATGAATAGCCATATGCCATAACAGTGCCAACTCTGGAATCCTGCCACACACAGGTTGGCAGGATGACACCAAAGGGATGGGTAAGATCATGGAGTAAGATTGTTACTGGGTGGCTAAATACACATTTACAGAGTGACTAGTGCCTTCCACAGGAAGGGTTAGGGACCACATGACAGTATACACTTTCCATGAAGTGGCCGAAGCCTGAATGACACAGAAGAGTCATCGCAGCTCATATCAACACTCCAGTCTTTGAATGCATGTGACCTCCTCTGGGTCTACAGTCAGGCCCTCTAAAGTCTCAACTCAGTATTACGCAGTCCCTACATTCCCCACACTGTACGTGCTGTGCTACAGGAGGCCACAATGCACGACGTTACAAATATGGATGCTGTTTAGAATTTCCTGCCTTGGTGGGAGGGTGCAACTTTAATAACACACAAATTTAAGCCTGCAGTTAAAGCCTCAATCGGCTAGAGTGGAGTTTCCATGGGGCAGGGACCTGTCCCTGTCTTCTTGGCTTTTCTAATGCTCAAATCACAGCAGTGCTGAGTTACTTCAATGAGCATATCTCTGTGCTACTGCACTACAGGTGAGTCATCCTGGGGATGGGCAAGTGATGAGCAACGTGGCAGCCACTCTCTGTGGGGGTGAAGGAACAGCTGGTCTCACTGGAGTTCCACAGAGTCCTGCTGCTGGCACGTGCACTGCATTCATGTCTCCAAGATGTTCGTGCCCTGTCCAGGCCAAGCTGGCTAGATCTGGGGCCTCCAGCTGAACTGCAGTGGCAGGTGGTTTGTGTTGCTGAACACCTCCTCTCCACAATAGAATTTTATACCTCTGGGGCAGGGAAGGGCAAACTATGGCCCGTGGGCCAGATCCGGCCCATGAGGGCTTTCAATCAGGCCCACGGGATTACCGCTCCCGGAAGCGGCCGGCACCATGTCCCTGCAGCCCCCCCCACTGGGGGAAGGGGGGAGAGGAAAGGGGGCAGAGGGCTCCATGCGCTGCCCTCACCTGAAGGCACCACCCCCAGCAGCTCCCATTGGGCAGGAACAGGGAACCACAGCCAGTGGGAGGCTCTGGGGGTGGTACCCGCAGGTGAGGGCAGCATGCAGCAGAGCCGCCTGCCTCCCCGGCTCACTCCCAGAAGCCACTGCCAGACATGTTGGCCACTTCTGGGAGCGGCGCAGGGCCAGGGCAGGCAGGGAGCCTGCCTTAACCCCGCTGCGCGCCGCTGCCACCCTGGAGCTGCTTGAGGTAAGCAATGCCGGGCTGGAGCCCGCACCCCAACCCCCTGCCCTGAGCCCCCTAATCCCCTGCCTTGAGCCCCCTGCTGCACCCCAACCCCCTGCCCTGAGCCCCCTAATCCCCTGCGTTGAGCCCCCTGCTGCACCCCAACCCCCTGCCCCGAGCCCTCTGCCGCACTCCGCACCCCCTCCTGCACCCCAACCCCTTACCCTGAGCCCCTTCCTGCATACCACACCCTTCTCCCCACACTCCCTCCTGCACCCCAACCCCCTGCTCCAGCCCTACATTCATGGCCCTGCATACAATTTCCCACCCAGATGTGGCCCTTGGGCCAAAAAGTTTGCTATAATGGAGCCCACTGCCTTCAAAGGGAGTAAAGAGCAGAATCTGGCTCCATACGTATAAAAAGAGTTGGTCTCTTTACCTCCTCTATCACTTATTGCTTGCCCAGCAATTGCTCAACTCAGCCTTTGCTTTTGGCTGTGTTGACCAATTAAACGCAATTTAAGTGAAGCTGTTCATATATAAGTTACACACACTGGGGTGAAGCCAAAACAGCCTGTGTGTGAGATGCGGCAAGGTCACTGGGTAGGAGATGGGACTACATTGCACAGAGTGCCTTGCTCCTTCTCCATGACTAGCAGGCAGCCACCTGAACAGTCCTAGGCTGGGGGTTTTCTAATGCCAAAGAAAATGCTGAGAGCCTCAGGAATGTTATGTTAGTGACTAGATTAACAGCAGTTTCCACTGCAGTCACAAGAAAGTTATTCCCCAATAGGAGTAAGGATGTGTAATGGGAAATCTACATGAGGAAATTGATCAGAATAGCTCCCACAGTGGACACTTATTCTGAAATACCTATAGTGCTTTAAATTCACACCCTACCTTATTCTGGAGCAATTTCCCCATGTAGTCAAGCCCTAAAAGGCAGCGGGGATTAGGCCAGGGCAATGGACATAGGATTTCAGCTCTACTCCAGCAGCAGTACTAAAAAAGCACAGGCAGCAGGGAAGTGCTACACTGGCCTGAGCTGATAACTCAGCCATGGACATGCTGCCTTTCGGCAGAAACGTGGCCTCAAGAAGGAAGTGGGTGCTTAATGCCAATGAGTTTTGTGAAAAGCCACCTGCCATTTGGAAACTCTTTGGTACTAGACTGGGGCCCTCCAAGCCTGCCTGCCACACTGGCAAGGCAGGCTCCCCATAGGCTAGGAGAGAGGCCTTTAGCTGGGGGCGGGCTTGCCCCCGGCCACATCCCAGAACCCAACAGGACACTCGCAAGAGAAGAGGGTGAACTACAGACCCAGGAGATAGAGGAGCATTCCTTTAGGTTTCCCAACAGTTGCTAGGTGTGTGCAGGCTGGTTGCCTCCTCTTGCTCTTTGCAAGGTGGTGGCTCACCCACTCCTTCATCCTCCACTCTAGAGGATGGGGATTGGAGGCACCTGGGCAGGGGTGGCGAGTTGTATGGGCCCCTGGTGTCCATGCTCCAGTAATATTCAGGGCCCTGGGGCATGGCTCCACCAATGTTCGGGGGCAGGGCTCTCCCCTGGCCCTGCCTGCTGCCCCAACTCGCCTCCCCTGGAGCGTCTCCGGGCCCTGCCTGCTGCCCCTAGGCAATTTAAGAGGGTCCGGGGGGCCCTGGCTGCTGCCATCACCACGGGCTGCACAGCAAGGCTAAGGCGGCTACCTGCCCACCCTTGCTCCGCACCACTCCCGGAAGAGGCCAGCACGTCCCTGTGGCCACGGGAGGGGCGAGTGTCTCCGCGCGCTGCCCCAGCCCCGACTCTGCAGCTCCCATTGGCAGGGAACTGCAGCCAATGGGAGCTGCGGGGGTAGTGCCTGTGGGCAGCAGCACACAGAGACCCCTCAGCCCCCTGCCTAGGAACTGCTGCCAGAGGGGTGTGCAGGTCCCTTTTGGGAGCTGCCCAAGGTAAGTGCTGCACCCCTCACCCTCTCCCAAAGCCCCCTCCAACACCCAAACTCCCTCCCAGAGCCTTAGGCAGGTGGGGGGAGGGGAAGAGGGGAGAGAGAGAGAGACTTGGACCTGTTCTGGGCATCACCAAAAATTATACAAACCTGCTGCCCCTGCACCTGGGAACAATGGGACTGCAGTTACAGAGTCAGGTTTCTGAGTTTCCCTTGACTTTTTGCTTTAATTTTATGGTGGCTACGTGAACACTAGGATCAACGTTCAGGGTTGTTTTCAGACCTTTGTTTCTCTGCTCCCTTGCTATGCTCCAGTTTTTTTTATTAATGTTGGTATTTATAGAAACCAGAGCTCAATTCATATAACTGGGTGTGAGAGGGTGTGGATTAGGGGCAGAGTTCGCACACAGGCAATTTAGATCTAGGTCAGATGCAAGTCAGGAGGGCGAGATTCAAGGATTTAGTGACAGCAGGAAAAAGGAATATAATCAGTCTGTAGGCGGGCACCTCTGATTGTGGGCTGTTCCCAGCCCACACAGCTGGGACGAATTCCCTTGCTACTCACCCCCATACTTCTCCATGTCACTGCATGTAACCTGTAGAACAGGACTATGAAGAAGCGCACAGACATGGTCCAATGGCAGTACAGTGTGGGTGGGCTCTCCCTAACCTTTCTATTTATTCGCTATACGGGGTTATTTTATTCTAACACAGAGATCACTTCTTTAAAACACTGACCCAAAATTCCCCAGTTTGGATGCCTGGAAGTTAGGCCATTTCTTTAGGTGCTTGATTTTTCAAATCTGCCAAGCATATAGAAGTCAATGGCAACACAGAGGCTCAGCACCTCTGACAAACTGTTTAGGGGCTGAAACAGAGAAGGGCCTGACCTTAGGTGCCCAACAGGGAAAATTGGCCTCCATGCACAATAACGATTCAGATGAAAGCCAAGTGCCCCTAGTAATATGAATGTTATCTGGTCAAAGAAAGGTAGGTGCACTGAAAGCTACCCAACTATTATGCCAATTCAAAACAGGTTGTAGGCTCTAGAAAATATCAGGATACCAGAGAATGATTGAGCACAATGAAATAGTATTTCTGGCAAGCCAGACATGCAAGTGGACAGTATGGAAAGCACCTGAAAAACTCAGGATTAAAATAAGTCTATGCACGTTGGCAGCATCACTAACCAAGCATTTAGCTCAGGCACTGTTATTCAGAGAGAAATTAAAAAACGATACAAAACACTTGACACCGTTGATGAAACATGGAAGGGTTTTGTAACTTTACCCGCTCTGCACATGCCCAGAATAACCTATTCAAAGAGAGTCCTGAACTCCAGAAGGGTTAAAGGCTCATTATTTGCATACCTCCTACTGTTAGCAATCTCAGCCGCTCCTTGAACACTGCAAGATCTGGGAGGGGAGGGAAAGGTGGGATGCAGAAGGGAGAAGACAGAGAGATGCAGTCAAAGTTAGTAAAACCAGAACTGTGAAGAGAAGTCATGGAAAGCACAAGTTAAAAAAAAATAAAATAAATAAAAGTATTCAAATATGGTCAAAACCACCTTAGGAGGGAAGGCTTAGAATGGGGGATGACTACGCATTATACTGGGGAAGAGATCCATGAGGAAATCCTTCAGAAAGCCGCCTGCAAAGAGGGTGCAGGTGAAAGTGAGGGGTATCACTGACACTGGGGAGCAATTGAGCTGCATGGGTTGAGATCTCCTCTTATTGTTCCCCTAAACGAAACATGCACACAAGAAGATTACAGTACATCGGCATGTAACAGCAGCCAGGAGTCTGACAAAGCTCTGGAAACCAACTCTGTCAAAAGCCGTTGTAGAAGCATAAAGCCTTATGGGGCGGGATCATACGCAGAGTTCCAGACGCTGAACATGAGACCTTGCCCTTTCTTCACAGCTAGTTTATCAAGCTGGGAATTGTTCTGCAAATGCCAGTATTTTGAATGCCTCAGCTCTGATCCTTGCTGCTGGCGGGAGATAGGATTTTCAAGGTCATCCCTAAAGAGCAACAATGGATTTGCTGACAGCATTCAGCTACAAGGAAACTGGATGTAGAGCCACAGTGCAGCTGCCTCTGCAACATCAGTGCAAGGCACAGACAGAGGAGAACAGGATCTCTGCACGCTGACAGATGCAGGGATGCACACCTGTCCTTATGGGGATGATGTTCTGATCACAGTCTTTGCACTGACTCAAGTCTGCCCTGTGTATAAATGTTATTAATGGAGAGCCACGCATGCAAAATGCTTTGTTGTTTCTGACACGGACTGTGAGCATGCTGGATGGAGTCGGACATGCTGGGGACACAGGCAGTCAACACGCTGGACTCCTGCGCAGGATGGGCTACAGCTGGTTAGCAGTGCCAAAGCTCCTTTTGTGGGTTAGAAAGATTGGGGGCTCAACCATTTTCATAGCATGGACCACATCTGAGACACCTCTCCTCCCTTTGGCCATTCCACAACGTCCCTAGGCAATTGCTTACATGGAGAACAGTGAAGTATGCAGTGTGTTTCTTAGCTGTCTTAATGACATTTTAGCAGCCAGAAAGGAGGAGAGCCAGCAACAGGTGAGCAGCCAGCTCTCAGCAGATTACACTCTGGGAACCTCTGCAGCAGAAAATGTGGAGCATAAACCCCCAGTGTGAACTGTGAAGGCTAAGTTCACAGCTGTCTCGGTGAGAAAGGAAGCAGCGCACTTCCATATACGAGATCTAGGCAGGACTGGATCTGACCAACGTGCTACTGAAACTTACTGGCTTGTGGAATGAGATTTTCAGGAAGAGAAAACTTTCAGGCACACCAGATTTACCCATCCACTCATACTCCTGATCAGAGAGACCACACCTCCCTCAGCCCATCTCTTCTAATCACTCATGAGCTTGCTGAACTACTCCACGTGATTGCCTGGTCATTTCAGAGCTAGAGGGTGGATGCCACTATCTTTTACTTACGTAAGATCAAGGAACAGCAGCATATGTTGGCTTGTGAGAGAGGTCAGAGCCTGAATGATTACATGAACACAGATGGATGCAGGCTCAGGACGGTCCATTCCATGCAACTCTTTTCAGGTTTGCTCTAACATGCTTCTCCAAAAGGGCATTTGCTGGGAGTTGGACTGGGAGGGGAATAGGAGCTGCTCTACAATTTGACAACCCAGAGGGGATGTGTAGGACAGCATAAAATGCTTACACCAGATTAAGCAGGTAAAGGCAGGCCTGGATACAACAACTATCAGGGAGCTATCAAGAAGTTACAGTGGGGAGGAAAGGGTGCGGGGGGGAGAGAAGAACTGGTTCAATGTCTGAGTACCCAAGTTAAAGCAGGGGAAGGAAGGCAGCAGTTTGAAAAGGGGAGGAAGGTTTGGGAGCCTCTGGTTACAAATAATCCTGTATGCTGCCCAGTGATCACATAAGCAACACAGAAGATCAATCTGGGTTTGGGAAATCACCTGCTTGTTGAGCCTCTTGGAGCTAGATTTTGAAGAGGAAGGCGCAACAGGGTCACAAGCACCACTGATGAATGCGCCCAACAACCCATCCAGGGGCATAAACGGGCTGGCTGGCTCACTTGCTGTACCTTGATTTCAATATGTGTTCTCCCCCCCCCCGCCCCCGGCATCTAGCAGAGGGTGGAATCTACTGCGAAGACTCAAGGCACACCTTGGGTTTTAATAGCTAACATGGCTCTCTTCATATCACTGTCCATCAGATCCATTACTGGCAGCAGGGAGATAGGCTGGAATTTTCAAAGGAAAGAAGGAAGTTCAGCACCCACACCCCACTAACACTCCAGAGAAACTGGGTGCTTAAGTCTTTCTGGAGATCCCAACCTCAAACTTCTTCTCACACAGGCTTCAATACCCGTACACATTTCTCAGCATAAATGGGGTCACGTTGTTTAAGTCAAAAGGAGTTTCTGAAAGAGCAGCGATAATAGCAAATTGCTAAATAAAAGCCATTTGAAAAGCAAGAGATCAGTTTCGGAAACTGGCTCTGTGCTACTCCCTCTTAATTACAGCATACACCCAACAGTATCTTGTACCCAAGCTATTAGTTGCAGAACTTGTACTAAAGCTGATCTCCATGCATTTCACTGCACGGACGTTGAAAGCAGATCGTGTCATCAGGACAAATAAAATCACTGAGTAATTAACCATTCTGCTCATTAACTGCAGCCTAAGTGTCAAGAAATCATTTTAACATAAAACCGAGCAGGATTTGCTTAGAAATTAGCTTCATATGTGATAAACAGGCTACTGCAGATCCCAGGCCAGTGACCAGAATATTTGTACTTGTCTTGCTGACGACTCAAAGTTTGCAAAGATCAAGTTGTAAGAGAAGGCCTAGGTGTTCCTCCTCCCTCTAATGATCCCTGAGCTACCAGCCAGTGAACAGCATTGGCAGAGAGGTCTGCTAAGTGCCCCCCCCCAGTGGCAAGAGTAACCGTACATGATCTCCTGATACTAGTATAGCATTTCCCCACAGTCAAAGCACTTTACCAACAGTAAATAGGTCGCAGCAGTCCTGAATGCAAGGCAAGTATTACCTCTAGATGAGGAAATGGAGGCATAGATGTCTTTGCCTAAGGCCATGGGGGTACCAGTGCTGAAATTGGGATTTAGATGAATGATAACACTAAATCTGAAGGATTCAGTTTCTCAGTCCTACATCATCCTCTCATGTAAGGCATACGTAGGGAAAGGCCTTAAACCAAGAGACACACAGACCCCTATTCTCCTCTCTTCTCCTCTCCCCCATCAACTTCAGTGATTCATAGAGCTGTAAGTGAGATCAGAATAAGGCTCACAGATTCTCACTCCTGAAAGAGAGGAGGAGTGAGGGATACCTCAGTAAAAACAGAGGTGGCCAGTACGCAGCCAACAGGTTACATGGCCAGACATGGCCCACGGTGCTCAGCAGTTGCCCTCAATTTTATTCTAGAGGTTAAAAGTCCAGCTGTGTAATGAGACTGGACTGCTCTGATCAAAGTGGTATAATGCACTCTGGGTCCTGTAATCCCCACAGTTCTACATCTCTACACTCCTGGGGCTTGTGGCAAAATGCCAGCCTGGCTCTTGATTAGGCAGCTGTGGATGTCCTGGAATAGCAGAACAAGGCAACCTCTTTACTTGTCCCTAGATTATATCATGCGCCAACATCCATCCAACCTGAATCTCAGTTTTCAATACAATAATTTTGCGAATTATTCTGTTTTTAGTGCCTCTCCTCTGTTTATAGCACCACTCCTCTGTTTATAGCAGAGAAGTCTGAAGAAGGGGAAATTATTGCTTTCTGACTGTGCTCTTTGGCATCTGAAAAACATCTGGTTTTGTCCTATTTCTTATGAAGCAACTTTGTTTACTTGCTTGGGCAGTGGCAGCCCGAAGGGGTGGGGCTAATTAGGGAACAGTGAGTAAACGAAGCTGCATAGCTGGTAGATCAGTTGTATCTTTTTGTCAGTCACCACTTTTTTTTTTTAAGCTTTAAAAACACTGACTGTACCACAGCTTTTTAGCTTGCCTTTTCAAAATCTAATACAATAGGCCAGGGCTGTGTATTAATTTGCACCTCTTCAAACCCACTGGTTTCAGATTGAACTCAGCAGCCACATATGGCTTTTAGGATGGCAAAGATCTGAACTAGCTTGGCTATGGTGCCACATCAGAACAAAATCCTCATCAATCCAGACGCATTTTCCTGGCTCTGGAGATTGTCACCAGTTAAAAAAGGAAATCCCAGCAACACACTGCCTACCGATGATGTAGGATTTTGCAGCTGGGTTTGACTCAGTCTCGCATATAAAAGTCGTATCTAATGGGATTCCAAGTGCTCCAGAGAAGGTCAGGTCAGCACTTGCAGTACAAATATATGTACTGGATGTGTCCTCTGCTGTACCTGCCTATGGCATTGTCACCAATATTTTCCTATGGGCGCTCTCATCACAAATGAGAGAGAGTTTGTTTCCAAGCTAGTATTGCTGAGTTTTGTTTTCCTATTAACTCATCTGCTACAGAAGGCCCTCCATTGGGCATCAGGCCTGCTTCTCTGAAGTCTGCAATGATTCACCTATTTTGGTAAAACAGATCACACCCCAAGCCAAAAGTTAAATCCGTACAAGAACTGTGCATAGCCCAGCTCCTTGAGACTTTTGTTCTGGGGAGAGCTTTCAGATAGTCATAATTAAACAAAATTCATAGTGTAGATGGGATGGTCTAGATATACTTAAACCTGCCTCAGTGCTGGGGATGGACTAGATGACTTCTTGTAGAGCCGGAAGGGACCTCATTTCTATGATTCATCTCAACAAATGAGATGGAACTGCCCCACCAAAGCTGTTACGATGTTCATTCTGACTCTTCTCTTGCTCTCATTTGTAACTTCACACTGATGTTGGTGTGATTAGTGCCTTGTATTCAGCATTATGACTTCATGGCAGGGTCAGACACAATCCACACTGCCCTGCCAAAGGAAAAGGCAGCACAGAGAAACGCTATGCCAGATTATCTCCTACACTGTCAGCACCAGAGAATGGAGGGAGCATTAGGTAACCAGTTACAGCTCCCAGACCCTCCAGCAGCATCACCACCTGGAACTGCCGATAAGCAGCTCTAAGTTGCACCACAGATGTCGGGTCCTTAATGGAACCCACAGCCTGCACCAGTGAGGGAACCAACATAGTGAGCTCTGGCATGCTCCTTCCCTCCTCACTACACTGGGCCAGGTGCCAGGTGCAGACGGGGCTCCGATCAAGCACATCTGAGCCAGCAAAGAGCCCCCTACCAGAGGAAATTTCTGCAGGTCAGTTGCAGCCCATTTCCAGCTGCCTTGCACTGCCTGAGCAGCCACATTTGATCTCAATACAGCATTTGGTCCACACACCAAGTAATGCACAGTATATTTCCCCACTCCACAGCCCTCTGGTTAGAGCTAGTGTCAAAGTCTCTCTGTAGAAAGGAATCCTAGACATTTGCTTTATAGATGTAGTTTCCTCCCTTGCACCGCTAAATCCTTCACAAGTCTCCCTGGGTTACTCTTCACCACTCTGGTTTTAATCTCTTCTAAAGAGAGCTGAACTGAAATTCTTGCCAGGTTAAGCACTTGGGGCCAGATGCTCATTTAGGTCTGGCCTACCCACAGATTTTGTACTGGTATAAACTAGGTTGGTTTGGGATGCATTTTTTTAAAACTGATCTAGTTATACAAGTAAAATCCCTAGCATGGTTGCATATTTGTGCGTATTGTGTTTTAAGTACTTAACTATATTGCCATAGTTAAAACAGTACATCTTGTGTGTTTAGATAAGGCCTTTGGCTCCTAAATGAAGGGAACAGCTTTTCAAACACATGCCAGTTTAGCTGCTAGGCACAGCGGTCTTCTGAAAGTCTGTTCCCTCAAGCATAACTAGACTATACCTGTTAGTAAGACTATTTCTTCCTTTGGAGTCTTAGCCGATGCACATCTGCTCACAACTAAGCCAGCTAATTTCATTTAGAATTTCCTGACAGATTAGATTCCTCCACAATGAGTTTTAACTGCAGCAGGGACACTCAAAGACAAAGTTCTACAACATTCTTATTGGCTTCTTATCTTGTTCTTTAACAATGTTAGGATTTTACTCTCGACACAGATTTTGACAGAATGCAGGAACTCTTCAGCAGACATCTGTGTTAGTGCTTACTTTTCTCTTGTGTTTGTTGACCCATCAGGTGTTCCTACAGCCTTTCCACTGTCCGCAGCACTGTTCCTGCTTTTAGATCTTGTAATGGCCATTTGGGGAAGACATCCAGTTTTAAATTCTTTTTATTTAATGAAGCAAACACTCTGATCCTGGTGAGGACTGTGCCAAAGCAGAACAACCTGTGTTTAACCGGATGCTCAGATGTACTGCTGTACTTCTCGTATCAGGGATCTTTCCACACATGGCTGAATTTTACAGCCATCTTCTATTTAATGACAAGTTCCCTTTCAAATTCATGTATCAACTATTTCCTTGACAGGATGAGAAAAATGCTGTAAATAGTAACCCTGCTAATGTTGAAAATCCTATGCAGCTTTTTACACTGATCTTAGTAAAGATTGGGGAAAAAGATGTTAAGATCAAGATTTCAAAAGTAACTGGTGACTTTGGGTGTTATGTTTAGAAAACATGTTAATACATCCCCAAGTCTAGTCAGAGTCTAGAATCAGCAGATAGTCTACACACCACTTAAAGTCTCAGGATATGTCTTAAACTGGTGCATACAGGTAGGTTTTGTGCTGGCCCTCAATTTCTCCCTTAATGGATTTCAGCCTGCTCCGCTCCAGCTCTATTCTAGCTCATACATCATCAATAGAATGTTACTAAACAAGTTAAAATGTGTTTTCTGTCAGTACTGCAAAGCTGGCGAGCTGAGAATAAGAGCAGAATCCCAACAGAAAACACAGTTTTGCATCTAAAATGAATAGATTTGCTTGAACCTGTGAGGCAGAAACCTACTATGCCTTTAAACACAAGGCATTTTCCAGATTAGAACAGTACTCAGCTCAGTGTTAAATTTAATTTAGTTCTCAAGAAGTTTCTTCCTTTTAGTGCTGTGATACGGGGCCCAATTCTCACCTACACTAATGCCCCTTTAGGCCACTTTGGCAGCATAAAAGTCGCCTCAGAGGGCAGAAACAGCCTCATGAGAATACCGAGCACAGAGGCCTCCCAAGCTGGTGTACAGCCTGGTATAAGGGTCTACACTGGCCCATCTCTCAGACATCCCCCCAGCTGTAGGGGGTGCATTGGAGTCATGGCCATAACACACTCACTATGACTACTCTTTGCTTTCCAGGGCTTACAGGAAGTAGAGCTTAAAATTAAAGCAGCACAAGGCTGTTCTAATTTACATGAGGGGCTGTGCAGGGTGCCACACAATCTCAGAATCCAGGGAGCACAAGATGTGGCTCAAAACCACCTTTACCCCCCTTGCTGCCACAAACATGGGCAGAGGACTAGAATGAGAGCCACCAAATGATTTTAAATGCTCATCAGCTGTTTCCAGTGATGCAGTTAGCAGACATCAGATTAAACATTCCTTTTCTTTCCTGGATCTGGACTCTTGAGAACTGACAGGCTAAGCCATCAATGTGAAGGGATTCCAGCCACAGAACTAGCTCCACCCAGAGTTCACTGGTCTTTGGGGCACAGACCCAGACAACTCTATTTAGATACGCATTTTCTGAACATTGAGCTGAGATTGCGAAAGGTTTTCCCGTGTTTGATGAATTTGGGTGTCTGAAAGCAAGTCCCTCATTACTGCTCCCTGACGGAGTCAGCGCCAGCTAAGACTGTTTGTTTTAAAGTTGTACTGGACTACAATGGCTAATGATAAACCCGAATACAAAATTGGACCCAAATGTCAAGAGCTCTAGGAACAATAAATGATCGTAGACAGGATTACCTGACCTTCATAGCTACAATGCAACTACTGCTTCAATAATCCTATATGCTTCAGCCAAGCCAAACAAGTTGATTTTTTAAATTATTTCCCCTTGCACACTCCTGAATAGATTCCAGCAGCATGTTCCTGTTCCTATACCGGTAGCTGGACAAGACATCATCAAATACATTTACATGCACAATATAGTCTGATCAGGTGTTTCACCCATGTCAGGGTTAGTGGTCATTACTCTTGCTCTAGTCTAAGTTAGAAGCATGCTGCTTAGGAGAGCTTACAGAATCAGGTTTATAAACCCTGGAAAGCACCAGCAAGTTGAGAGAGGGCTCAGCCACCATAATCTAGACTAGAAGAACGGCAGCATACTACAGAGATCAAAATTAGAGACTGTTATGAGGTACTGGAATTTCAGCGCCTTTGGGACAGAATTTCAAGTACTGAACAACACACAGTCATCTGTGCAACATACATGCATCTTCCAACCAAAAGCACTGTATTTTCGACCTCTCTACTTGATATGGGAAGACATTCCAAAGCTTCCTTGTCATGATCACTAGCAGACAATTATTGGTCAGAGTTGAAACTGTGCATTCAACTTGTTTTAAAGTTCCACAGCAAGCCAAGGAACTAAGGAATGCAACAGCATTGTCACAAAATTAGCACCATGACATATGACTGTGGGTAATTCAAGAGAGATTTCTTTTTGACTGCACTATTCTTGTATGGAGAATACCAACAAAGCTCCTGTCTTCTCCAACCTGCTGAGGGCTACCACCATGGCCCCCAGAAGCAGTAGCAGCCTGTTGGCGAGAAAGCAGCAGTGCGCTTTGAGGATTCCAGTAGCAAAGGATGCTAAGGAAAGGAAGCATGAACACCTATCTCCATGATACCTGTCTCCCCCTATCACTTTACATTTCCACAGAAATGCAATTGTTTGCACCACTGGACTAGTCAGTCCACTTACAACTGCAATGTGAAATTAACAAATGTTGATAGGAGACGAGAGATAACATGGCTCCTAGATCTACCACATGGCACAATACACGTCCACTAGGATAACTAGAAGGAGTAGTAGAACTGGTGCGCTGCTGCTAGTCTGGTGAAGCCAATGTTTCACCAGATACAAATTTAGAACGTGATCATTACTAAGGAAACTTAAGACCCCTCTTCCTGGTGAAGCGCTCTATCTACAACAAAGCTGTGAAAGTGAGAGAGGAGCGCAAGCAATGCGGCACTAACTGCTCTCAAAGCCCTCACCCAGTTTGTCTGAGGATGTGATAATATCAGCTGGAACGCACGAGTCCAGATCTGCATCCAAGATTCCCAGTGGGTCGAGCTGTGCTACATGATGCCCTCGAATCTATGAAATGGGCCAGGAATGGAAAGGAAAGTGGATACCAAAAAAGGGGGGGGGGGGGGGAAGGGAAGGGATAAAAAAAAGTTAAATTACATTCGAATTAATTTGCAGAGTAATTCTCACCGACGTTTGGAGAAACAGATACTGGTGCATCATCAAAATTTACACAACTAATGCCGAGAGGATCAAGCTTTGCAATGTGGTGACCCCTGACCTGGAAGCAACAACACAGATCAGTTATTAAACAAGTTCATTAAAAGAGACATACACATTTTCACATTCCACCCTTTCTGCAAAGCCACTGTACAAAAGGGATCCATTGCATGTAATAATGTATAAAAAAGTTGCCCATAAACATCACAACTTTTGTTTAAGAGCAACATGGAGTATACACCATATACAAAGTTTATCAGCATGGCCCCGGAACTTCCCTCCACCGCTCCGCTCCGTCCCCCCCCCGCTTCCCCCCCCCCCCCCCAGTTAGCCATTATTAACTCAATTTTACAGTTCAAAGTAAGCTGTGGAGGGGATATTACTTAGACTGTAAGCGCTTTGGGGAAGAGATTATGTCTTCATGTTCTGCAGAGGGACTTTTGAGCTCTGTCAGATAATTTCTGAAAGCATTTCCTAAATAACAGGTCAAGGGATTGACAAGCATGACCTGAACACATGCCTAAGAGAAACATTATTAATAGCCTCCTGGTCCCAATCAGATTCTAGGGTTCCCTTTCAACCCACAGTAGCAAGGAGACAAGAAAGTAGATTTATTGTATGTTGTGTGGTTTGGTAAGTTGTTCTTATTTTGTTTCTGCTTGGATCACTAGGATGTCCTGGTTTCATATTTAAACAACATTTACAGTGTGAAGTTTCTCAGCTCAACACCAGATAGCAGCCCAGAAGGCTCACATGGTTATGAATGCAGCAGAACACCTTCTCTACAGTGAAGAAATTTGTAACATTGGGGTCAAATTCAATATAGGCAAAGCAAAGATTTTCTTCTCTGCTGAAAGATTCTCGGAGATCAGAGAAGTGATCCCAAAGCAAAGAGTAGACCTACCACCACCTTGGATCTGTACAGGAGAGGCACTTGTTATCGTACAAGTTTCCAGAATTTAAGAACTCAACCATGACTATTTCCTGTAAGCACCATAGCACGTTAAGAGTCAGCTCCCAGGTTAATAATCCCAGTGGTCAGACCAATGCCAAGTTGGCTGGCAGGCTTAAATGTGAATGACTAGTTAGTGCAGAGAATATAGTCCTGTTGCATTGCAACAATAATTCAAAAGAGAAGGAGTTGCGGGTTGGATTGGGAGCACAAGAGCAGCTGGTAATGCTCCAAGACTGAAGTTGGGCAGATACATCAGTTCCTTGAACCAAGGAACAAGACTTAAACCACTCAACAAGTTTAAGCACAAAAATAGCAAAGTGCTTCCAGCACAGAGGATGGTCCTAAGGTGAGTCTCAAATAGTTTAGTCTTTTTCATTCTAGCGTAGCCCCCCCCCTTACCACTGACACCACGTTCCAAACTAAGCAGGGTGTTACCCATCAAAGGCCAATATTACAAGTCAGGTTCGGAGCTCATCTTTCTAAAGAGCTTTAGGCTGTTAAGGAATAAGTATGGGCACCCAGATACCGCAGCGAGGAGCACAGTATAGACACCCAAACAGAGAGAATTCTAAAGGCTGTGCAGACATTGGTTTGATAAAGGATGTTTCTCAGTCCACCTCTGGTCTATTACAGACTTTGGGCTGTTTTCTACTTGTGTGAATTGTTGTTAGGTATTCTTCAGAAACAGCTTCGGGAGTTCTGCTTCTGATATCAGAAAAGCGTGGGAAGATATCACTCAAACTCAGGAAAATGTTACTGAGGGTTCTGATCTGGATATTGTTCACACGTGCAGAGAGACCCAACCCCACAATGAGAGATGTTGTGCCAGATCAGAATTTAGTTTTTTTGAATAAGTCTCATGCCAAACAGTTTCCTGCTGATGAGTTATGAGTTCTTCCCTCAGAAACCACTGGGGTCATTCCCACCAACTGCTTGCTCAGCTGCTGAAACTTTGAGTCAATAACTTCTGTTTTCAGTATCTATAGTTTTATCCTCCAGCTAGGAGGCTGTTGTCCAGAAGCTGCAGATGGGTGTATCTAACTGTTTGGGCCTTAAAACACTGCTGTTCTTTATTCCACTGGTGTCAGCTGATTTTGAAACAGACCTGCTGTTTCAGTTAGGGGGCCTGGAGAGACAGTTTGATTTCTGAAAGCTTACTACAAGTTGAAGGCAGTATGTTGCCTGATCTTGGTGACCAGGCCTCTAGATTTTGCAGACATTTTGACTCCCTTCCTGATCAGCTTCCACTCTGAGCTGCAAGTTAGGATACCATATCTGCAGCTCCCACTCGAGTGTGGACCCAGTTATACAGATATAAAAATACCTTACAGTGGTATAGCTTATTTCCTTTCCTGAATATAACTGGGGTGTGGTACCGCTTTAGCTATATTGGCATAGTTAGTGGTACAACTTGGCTGTATAGACAAGGCCTTAGTATTGTAAAGGATCCCAGAGAGGTTTAGGAAGTGATTTCTGTGGTTTAATCCGTTGAAGAGACAGAATTTAGTGCTTGAAATCAGGGGAACTCACTGAGAAAGTGCTGAGCACCTGCATCACGTGACCTCTCCAGAGTTATTGCTGATGAGTCCCCACAGTCTTGGATTAGAATAAGAAAAATGTTCTCCTGCACCAGTCTGGGACCCACTCCCCACCCTTTGACTAGGCATGGGATAATCCATGAGGATTGTCCTGTAATTGAAAGATGGAGAGATCCATTAGATCAACCAGTTCAGCTTCTCAAATCATGCATGTCAAGGGATCTGGGGTTCCAATGCTGGAAATCCTGTTCTTTGGTAACTGTGAACAGAGGAGGGTCAGCTTGGCTGGTTATGGCTGTCAAACAGCTCAGAATTCAGAGCACCAGGAGATGGATTTGATAGTTGTCTGGTTTCTAACCCAAGTCCCAAATCCCTGAATGTGTGGGGGAACTGGAAGAAATTAGTTTCTTTTATCTCCTAGATTTAATACAAAGCAGCTCTGCAGTGCAAACATGCTGAACTGTGTAGGCAGCCATGAAAGCAGCAAGGTATGGAATTCCACCTGAGTGGGTGGCATATGCCTATTTCCTTCATTATAATCATACAAAGGCAGATTGTTTTCCTGCCTCAAAACAAGCCTCTACCAGCCATTACAAAAATTAATCAGACGCATAACTACCGGTATGATTAGAAAGTAAAAGGCAGTTACCCTTTCCGTAACTGGTGTTCTTCGAGATGTGTTGCTCATGTCTATTCCACAGTAGGTGTGCATGCTCGCCAAGTGCACCAGTGCCAGAAGTTTTTCCCCTAGCAGTACCCGGGAGGGGGGGGGAGGGAAGCACCCCCCGCGAACCCTGGAGTGGCCCCTGCCTGGTGCAGTATAAGGGGAGCTGCACGTTCCCCCCCACCCTCAGTTCCTTCTTGCCAGACAACTCCAGCACCGGGGAAGGAGGGCGGGATGTGGAATAGACATGAGCAACACATCTCAAAGAACATCAGTTACGGAAAAGGTAACTGCCTTTTCTTCTTCGAGTGATTGCTCATGTGTATTCTACAGTAGGTGATTCCAAGCTGTATCTGCTGGAGGTGGGTAGGAGTTCACAAGTTCTCGGGATGGAGTACCGCGCCCTGCCGAACCCGGCGTCATCCCTGGATTGGGAGACTATCGCATAGTGCGAGGTAAACGTGTGAACCGAAGACCACGTTGTGGCCCTACAAATGTCCTGAATAGGGACGTGGGCCACGAAGGCAGCCGACGAGGCCTGCGCCCACATCGAGTGTGCCCTAACAATAGGCAGCGGGGGAACACCCGCCAGCTGATAACAGGAGCGGATGCATGAAGTGATCAAGTTGCCCAGCCGCTGAGTGGAAATTGGCTGGCCTCTCGTGCGCTCAGCTGAGGCAACAAACAGCTCCAAGGACTTTCTGAATGGCTTGGTTCGCTCGAGGTAGAAAGCCAGAGCTCGCCTCACATCGAGCGTGTGGAGGTGGCGTTCCTCATTCGTCGCGTGGGGTTTGGGGCAAAGGACTGGTAGAAAAATGTCCTGATCCATGTGGTAGGCGGAGACCACCGTCGGGAGGAACACGGGGTGTGGGCCGAGCCGGACCTTGTCCTTATGAAACACAGTACACGGCGGCTCTGAGGTCAGGGCCCTGAGCTCCGAGACCCGCCTGGCTGACGTGATAGCAACCAGGAAGGCCACCTTCCAGGAGAGGTGAGACCAGGAACACGTGGCCAGTGGCTCAAACGGGGGCCCCGTAAGCTGAGCCAGCACCAGATTCAGGTCCCATTGCGGGACCAGGGGCTTAGAATATGGGTAAAGCCGGTCCAAACCCTTCAGGAACCAGCTGGTCATAGCATGGGAGAATGCAGTGTGTCCTTGCACCGGGGGATGGAAAGCCAATATGGCTGCCAGATGCACCCTGACTGACAAGGGCGCCAGGCCCTGGGCCCTCAGGCGGAGGAGGTAATCGAGGGTAAACTGGATCGGGGCAGCCGTTCGGGATACACCTTGGTCTGTCACCCACCTAGCAAAACGAGACGACTTCGCCATGTAGGAGTGGTGAGTGGAGGGCCATCTAATCTCAAGGACGACGTGCTGAACCAGAGCTGAGCATGTCCTCTCCTCACCACCTAGCCACTCAGCTGCCACGCCGTGAGATGAAGAGCTACCAGGTTGGGGTGGAGGAGACAGCCCCGGTCCCAAGAGAGCAGGTCCAGGCACAGTGGCAACAGCCACGGCAGAGCCACCACAAGGCCCAAGAGGGTCCCGTACCAGTGCTGCCTGGGCCATGCCGGGGCAATGAGGAGGACCCTGGCCTTGTCCGTCTTTATTTTCTCTAGGATCCTGCTGATCAGCGGGAACGGGGAGGAAGGCATATAGGAGTTGGCCAGACCAGGGCAGGATAAAGGCATCAGAGATAGCGCCCCTCCCGAGGCTCGCCCTGGAGCAGAACTGGGGGAATCGTCGGTTCTGTCGGGTCGTGAATCGGTCCACCTGGGGAGTTCCCCACCTCCGGAAAAGCTGGAGGGCCACTTCTGGGTGTAGGGACCACCCGTGCTGAGAGGAAAAGCCCCTGCTCAAGCGATCCGCCCTTACGTTCCGGGTGCCCGGTAGGTGAAAGGCT